CCTAATGACTGGCTGGGTGGGCATGGTCAGGGGGTGTGACAGGTAGCACTTGGCCTCTTGCCCCCCCCCCCCCCGGAGCAAAAATGGGCCACGGGGGGGGCACTGCACCCCCCTCCATGCACCAAATTTTGGGCCTAGTACGCTTCCCTGCAGCCTCGTGGGAGCAAAAGCTGGCTGGGGAGGGGGGGGCTGTGCTGCACACACACCGTGCCCTGTTTTGGGCCTAGTAGACATCTCTGCACTTATCTGGGAGCCAAAAGTAAAATGGATTAACAAATTGTCCTCGACTTACAATCATTTGTTTAGCAACAATTTGAAGTTATAATGGCACTGAAAAAAAAAACCGATTTACTGTATGGCCAGTCTCAAACTTCTGACATTCACAACATCCCCACAGATTAAAATTTGGGATCTTGGCAACCGGCATATATTTATGATGGTTGCACCATCCTGGAGTCATGTGATTGCTGTCCGCAGCCTTCCCAGCCCGCTTCTCACAAACAAAATGAATGAGGGAAGGATCACCACATGATCCGCTTAACAGCCATGATTAAAAAAAGATCATAAAATTGGGTTGTGATTCACTTGCTTAGTTGTGAAAATTCCATCACAATTGTGGTTGTAAGTCGAAGACGACCTAAGCATGGCTCAAACTCATCTTGCCTGGATGATTACTCTTTCTTTAATAATTTCCTCATTCTGTCCCATAATGGTTTAAAATTCGCTAGCAACATTTGGAGGGTTGCTTAAAAAAACTAAGCCTTTTTTTTGAGTAAAAATGCTCCGGTTTATATATTTTAGTGCCAAAGGGTAACAAAATGGCTAGGTTCATACAACTCACTAGGTCAGTGTTTCTCAACCTTGGCAACTTGAAGATGTCTGGACTTCAACTCCCAGAATTCCCCAGCCAGCGAATGCTGAACTGTTTGTGAATCAGTCATATTATCAAATTGAACAAATATGAATCAGTTCAGTTATGTCAGGGTAGTGATTTAAAAACTCACCAGTTGATGCAATGATGTAATAATGGGAATGAGTCAGCAAGGTTTTTGGCTGTTATTCCGGCCCACAGCAGCACTCTGCAGGCTTCAGCAGGCTTCATCAAAACGGGGGCTTTTTCCCCTTCCCCCAGCATTGCTGAAGCCTGCAGAGTGCTGCTGTGGGCCGGAATAACAGCCAAAAACCTTGCTGACTCATTCCCATTATTACATCATTGCATCAACTGGTGAGTTTTTAAATCACTACCCTGACATAA